ATCTCTTCCGAAGGGTGGACACTGCCCCCACATAACCAAAACTCATTAACTCCCTGTAACGAGGTGATGGCACAGTGCTCACCTAACAGAGGAGAGTAGAATGGGACTATGTGTGGTCAAATGAGGCACACTCATACAGCCAGGAAACAGAATAGGCGCTACCAAAATACGATGTCCTATCCTAAACAGAGGCACTACTCATCCCATTACAGATGGACCTCTTGTCACAAGATAAGTCTGGTGCACCAGATGATGCAATGTATGTGCCAAGTCCTGCCATGCAGAGCAACTTGTAAGCCTCACAGGATGGAGCATGTCTGCACTCAGCTCATGTGAAAGACTTCCAGTGATTTCTGGGCAGAAGAGCTGTGGGCTCTTCAGAAATCTAGCTAAGAAGTCAATCCTGTGCCTACCTTCATAGGAGAACCTGCACAGAGAGAGGGTTTGAGTGAGTATCACAGAATCATAGAATCGAGTAGGGGCAACTCATATTCTTTTTTCCTGCAGAGAGTATCTAGGATCTATAGTTTAGATGTTCCTTATATGTGGTAAGACTTGTTTCCAGTTCCACGTCTTTGAGTCAAAGTATAATAATATGGGGGAAAGCAGGCAGTTTCCCAAGGTACTGGGCTGCAAGCCACGTTCTAGCTCCTTCCCTGTCTACAGATGTGGTACCAAGGGACAAACAGATACAAGAGACTGTACAGGGTGAAGGAAAACTGCAGCTGAGGTGGGAACTGAGTTCAGTCTTCCTGGGTCTTCAGCCAATATTTACTTATGGTCTCCCTTCTTCTTGAAGAATTGAGAGGGCATGCAGCATGTGAAAGGACATAACATCACCAATAAAATTTGTGTACCTTACAGAATCCCTTTTTTAAAGGCAAAGCAGAGCATCATCCAAAACAACATCCATTACGTACTCTTTGGTCATTCAGTTTGGAGCAATCAATCCTGTCAGCTTATTTTCTTTGTAATGAACCAAAAGCAAATACTTTCTAAGCAGTTGCAGTACTGCAGCTGCAAAGGTGGCAGTCCGAAAGAGCTGCAACATTTCCTACAGTTAGACATAGTTAATTCACACAGAATTATCCTCGCTGCATAAATGTCTGCGCAAATGACAAACTTTAATAAGCCTTCAAAGTTGACACAGCATTTATCACTGATTAAATTTTTAAAATGAAAGTAACTATGGCTTTTGCAGACATATTTAGATTAAGATTGACACTAACGTAGTGTATCAGTTTAACTTGCTTGCAATTATGCAGGTGCTTGGGCAGCCTGTATTTTAGTCATTTAAGGCTAAATTGGGGCAGAGAGTCCATAGCTTCATATTGGATAATGAAGCTCTGAGACAGTCTTAAGGCCTTTACAGATGCTATTATTCAAATATAGAATATTCTCAAAGCTTTCCTCTGTGCACTGTGCCTGTGTAAACTGTTCTTGCTGGAAACAAGAAATAGTACACAATCTTGCAATGAGAGTCCATGTAATACCAATGACACCCAGGAGGGCAAATTAAGGTTTTGTGAAAAATTCAAACTTGTATGCATATGACTTCAGAAACATAACACTATTGTTTTACTCTAATTGTGTATATACCTACATACATCTGAAACTGCTGTAGGGGGGTTGACACATGTCCAGAATAAAATACATATTTTTTTGTACATTTCTGGCTACTATTTTTTAAAAAATGCAGTTCTTCTGATGATGAAAGAAGATTAAAAAAATCAAATTGCACCAAGGACTTGATAGGTTATTCACTGTACTTCATTAATATTTCATTTTTTGCAGCACTCCAAATACACAGAGAAGTTATCAGAGAATATTTTTATTTGCTTTGTTAGAGTTAGAAGGCATTTGATCATAACTGCTGAAGTAAATTAAGTGGCATTTCAAGAGCAGCCAACTAAAAATGCTGAAGGCACAAAAGAGTTTTGATATCCAGGAAATCACAATTAATTTCAGCTACATAAAATGCGATACAAGATGGTATGAATCATTTGTTATTTGTCATCTGTTTCATTTTATTAGAAATGTATGGTATTTATCAGTCAGCAGAGCGGAAGTAGAATTTGCTGTAAATGATAAAGCCTGTAAAAAGATTATAGGTAAAAGGAGCAATGGGAAAATACATATACATATTTCTTATCAAAGCGTATGATAGCTTTCACTTGGGCTGACTACAAAAACACTTTATTATACTGATTTGTATTGTTCATTGAGGAAATTTCTAGGTTACACAAATGTTAATAAAACCTAAAAAGTATCACAACAGTTTATTTGGCAATTCACTTGGCAGCACCCAAGTATAAGAAAAAGAAAGAAATATTAAATACAACTCCACTGATAGGCCATTTAAAGAGTTTTCTGTGAAAATGAAGTCTTATCCCCTTTTTCACACTTAGATTTGATAATTTCCCAGTCCATATCAAACTGTCCAAGATGACTACCACCCTCCTCACATTGCCAGAAATTCGTGCAGAAAACCACCATGTACTTCATATCTACCGTGCCATATAGATATCAAAAATAAAAGAAACTAAATAATCTATTATATTGCATATGTACTGGCTAAACTACCCATTTACCCCTGTGCTGGTGGACAGCTTTTCTCTTTTGACACTTTATCTGCTTGAATTTACCTCAGAATTCTCCGTCTTTTTTTGTTTCAATATGATCAGTCAAGTGAAGGTATTTCCCAGGAAAAAAACCTTACCTGCTATATCTAACCTTTTATATAACAAAAATGTTACATGCCTTGCTCAAACTTGTCCCCAGATGTACACTGCCATATACCTTTATATACACGTATATACATACCTAAACATATCTGGTCCCTCATTTCAAGGGAAGCTCACCCTAGCACTAGGACAATGAATATAGGTAGGGAGGAGGGTGGAATAATTTTACAATGCTCTGACAGGCTAGGCAACACCTTGTCATGAGCTACACTTCAGTAACGAATACAAAGAGATATTAGAAGACTTCTTAAAGGTGTTAATAGTCATGGAATTAACAGGCATTAATGGATTAGATCCCACATTCTGACTATTACTTTTACCAGATTCTGTTTACAGGTAGTGTCAGACAATATAGCATACAGACAGAGGACCAACAAGTACTTTATTAGCCTTGCTGATTTTATTAATTGTGTATGATACAGTAACATCCAATCATGTACAAAAAAAAAATTAAAGATTCTGACACCTACTGCACAGGAACTAACAAACAGTAATTTTCTGTGTTTTTCTGTATAGACTAATAAAATACTTAGAATAATTAGTCTGCAAATAGTAAAGAATTAGAACTGCTAATTGCATATAACTTTTAAAAGTATGTCTCATAATTACTAAACCATACAGTCTTTGACATTACAATTTATATTCTTCAAGAGAAAAATCAAGTGCAAGAATATGTAACACTGAACAACACAAAATTAGCAACACTTTGTTTTAATTATATCAGGTCACAATTAACGTTGGCCCTGCAGTTCATCTTTCTACTTTAGTAGCGCCTTGGACTATTTAATTAGATTAATTTTTGAAGTATTGGCATTCACTAGTATGTGTTTTTGAAAACGCTGCAGCACAACACTGACATCTGTGAGGAGACCAATTCACTGACCTTCCAGAGCTGGATTCTGCCTGTCCATAATGTTACACTGTGTATCTGGGCAACTTGCCACAACTGATAAAGGTTGTGACACTATTGAGTAACTTCCTACCAACTGAGGACATAAGGAACTGCAACTGTCGTGCAGACAGATTTAGAACAAGATGAAGCGAACCCAAATCATGCATATTTGGAACCACAAGGAACCAAAAGCCATTCTCCATCGACAGATAAAGCGAGACTATAGTAAACTGTACATTTGACAGAGTTTTAGGGGCCTTAAAAATTTGGTATAATGTGTTTTCCGCCCAGGGCAAAATTAAGAGTTCATTAATATTAAATCTGTTTATTTTACGAACAAACTAAGATTTTAAAGGAAAGAAAAATCGCAGAAACTGCCTATACATCAGTTCCTGTATTTAGATCCAAATGTAATTGTAACTGTTCATGTTTTACTTTTAACAAAAGTCTTCAAGATCAAAAATTCTGAGTTTTCATTTGATCAGATAACAACTCAACACAAACATTATAATGCAAAAGAGCCTTCATACTTAACCAAAAATATATAGGCCCAGTCTTTGTTTACTGAGACCCTATATAGGCAAAATGCCACCAAGATTGTTCTAAGGCATTAATTTATCCATACATAGCACACTACACAGATACTCAGACAGAAGAGAATGGAGGAAACACTTGATAAGTTAAAAATACACCTTTGCACTTGTTCAAAATTATATTAACATACGCACAGTCTTACTTTTTTTTTTTTTTTTTTTTTACACATAGAAGCCCATGCTTCTATCAAGAAGCACAAAATAGTTGGTATATAGAGCAGTTACAATCTTACCTAGACCCTGTCTATGGTTACCTTACAAAACTTTACATCCTAGTTTTCCAGAAATGCACTCAAAATGTTGAGTGTGCAGTTCTCCACGTGGTCTACAAGGAAATAGATTTTCCACAGTCTAGCCGTAAAAAGACCTGAGCTCTCCCAAGCAAGCAGTCCGGCAATTAAAAGTTGAGCAATAAACTACAATGAAGCAATACTGGGTTTATGACAGTCATTAAACCACCTATATTAGTCTTAAAATATTAATAATTGAAACAAAACCAGCAAAAGCAACTTTTCTTATTAAATGGTCTCAACTGAATTAAAATTATGCATGAAGCTCTTTTTATAGATATCTGCAAGGGATCCTTTCAGTAGTTTTAACCCTCTTGTTCATCCTTGGTAAATGATTCATTAAAAAACACCCCATCCCATAACACAAGTATAGGGGAATTGTGAAGGATTAGATTTTTACCACAGGGTGATTCAGTGCCAATAAATGAATGATGCAGGGGGCAGGGTGGTCTTCTATGTGTGAAATTGTTGTACTTCTTACCTCCAGAGCTTTCAAACGCTCCAACAGCAATTTTGTCTTTTCTTTTTCCTCTTCAGTGCTGCTGCTTTCACTCCTTGAATCTTCGTCTGCTGGTGTGTGAATTTTTTCCATTCCTTCTTTACATTTCCTACTGTCTTCTGACAGTTTTTCCTGAAATGATTTTTAAAAATATCATTACTCACAGGTAGAAATGAACTATGCAAGTATCTTCAAATCTCCCTTGTATATGAATGAAGAAAAGACAGAGCAAGTTGCTAGTTACATGATTACAGTACTAAGTAAGGGAAGTCATGAGGGGTCTATGAAACCTGCCGCTATGCCAATCCTGAAAAAGCACATGCACAACTTAACTGCTACATCTATATAAGATTTTTTAAAAGTGGAACTCAACATATTTTTAATGAAATACCTTGCATGTTCATCTTTAAAAGCTGCAATGAAAGTTAAGCATACAAGCTTTCAATGGAGGCATTTTGCCACTGAGATATAAAGCAGCTTACTGAGGAAAAGCTAACATATGTTCATGCCTAATGTATTTCACCTTTCTTCATCTAGAGTTAATATTTGAATTTCTAAATAATGGGCTGAGAACCAAGCTACCACCTGAATACTGATTTAAGATCCACACTAATATATAACTGGAGAGAACCGAACTGACAGCAAAATTTTCAGAAGTGCCCCAGTCTATTACAAATCAGTCAGATTGGGTTATTACTAGCTGCCGCCGCTGCTGCTGAATGGACTCTGGCTCCTGAGTTTTACAAGAGGTCTATAAAAATCATAGGGTTGAACAGTGAATCCTTCTAACTCCATTAATTATGTGTCCAAGCTCTGTGTTGAGAGACAGAATTAGATAGAGCAAGAAAAACATTGAGATTACAAGTAGGTAATGTAAAATCCTGCCCAAAACAACAAGGCAAATGTAAGGGGAAAAAAGGGGAACTACACACATGTACAGGATGAATTATCATCCAAGGGCAACACAAAGTGGACCATCTCCACCTCGTAAACCACGTTCTCTAACTATATAAGGAGAAGCAGTGTGACAGCTAACGGGAAGGTTAAGACATGGGAAACGTGAGGTAAATCAACATTAATAATGGGTGCCAACATATATCTAGAGAAGTGCTTTAATGAGCATTTAGTTTTCTTTGTGTGCCTCTTTGGTAATACCCATATACAAAGGCACATACTTCCGTGATCTTTGGGTTAGTCTATAAGTGAGATGTATTTCCCATAGCTATTACAGAACACAAAGTCCATCTAAGCATAAAAATACGTATTTTTCATGAAGAACTGATCTAGCCTGAGTAACTGTGCAAATAACTCTTCGAGAGTTAACAGCAACACATTATCTTAATTAAAACCCATAAACACAACTGAATTAAAAACCAGCACTATGAATCACATTTCTAACAATGTCTTTTTAAAATATTAACTAGCTTAGAAATTGACTATTACTATGTTAAAACTTTAATCAAGAATCAATTTTATAAGCTATGGGTCTAATCACTGAATACTCTTACACAAACCATGGGACACCGATCTCATTCTGAACTGCAAAACATTGATGTCAAAGAGCCATTCCATCACGTTTCCGGCATTGGTGCTATCCTGATCCCACAGGAACCGTAAATACAGTAGTGGGGTGTTCTTCTTGCTTGTTACTCACTGGTGCTATGATCAAGCAACTGTAAAAGAGCCATTAAACCATTTTCTCTTCAAGTTGCCCTGACGAGTGCACTGACATAAACCACTCCGATGAAACAGGAAAAAAATGACAAAGGTATCTCTTAGATGTAGTTCAAACACGAACAATCATTTTTAGGAGAAAATGTGACATGAATTAGATGTGTCTAACAATGGCAGAAAATATAAATATATACAAAGGGATATCCTGCTTAAACTAGAGGGCAACCATTTCAAAGGATGGGTAGAAGAAAGCACAAGTTATGACATTTCATCACAGAAAGGGGAGTAATGCAACTTCTCACAGAATAAATCCCAGACATCTAAAGATGTAACCCATTCATCTTCTAATTACAAATTCGATGAACTTTGAACACGAGTGGCATAATCAAGAACACACAACCTGTTTCACTATGAAGGGCACTAGAATGCCTCAAGATACTTACTGCTGTTACCCCTGCTTGAGTGTTTAAGTACAGCTCACATATTTTCAAAACTAGTTTATTACTGAGTAATAATTAATGAGTTTCAGTGCTTCGGACACGGGCTAAAAAGGTCCCTGATGCATCACCTACCCTACCAGGAAAAGCTGCAGAACAGAGAAAAATATTGCTAACCTTCGGAATTGCACTTAGACATGCAATTTGCTGAGGGTGCTGCCCTGTCACTTTAACTAGTTCTACCAGGGTGGTACCCAGTAAGGGAAGAGTGGAAAATCCACACTCAAGAAAGCAAATTGGTGGTTCTTGAACAGCCTTTGTGCTTAACGTCATATCACAGAAGAGGAAGGATGACAAAGGCTTTTGGAAAGACGGAATTCTCTTAAGAATGAAAAATCTGCTTGTATCAAAGGCAAAAGTCTGCTGGGGGGAGGCAGGAAGGGGCAGAGAGATTTTCAAGAGGAAAGGTGTTGATAAAATCCTACAGAAAGCTCTAGAGTGAGCATGCTAAAGTCGGCAAACAATAACGCAGAGCACCCTATTCCTTTTTTTTTTTCCCCTCTAGATTCTTACATTTTGTTTGTTACCTCAAATAAAGAACATCTTTTGAATCTTTTAAGCAGTCTCTGTTGTATGCCTCTCATACTGCACAATTAAAGCCATCCTGGGTTTTCAGATTGAATAGCAAAATACTCTCCAGGTTGTACGTCTAGCAAAGGCAGAATAAGGGCTACCCTGCTGATCAATGCAGTTTCATTTCTGTGTAAAGGTAACAGATGGAAATGGTGCTCTGGAAGTAAGCTGGACCGGTTTAAAAAAAAAAAAAAAGCGCAACAATCCAGCTTTTGGTCTCCACAGACAAATAGGAGTTTAAGACATATGTCCATACCATGAGAGGATGCAAACACAGCAGCCTGATGAGAATTCTGCAGTAAAGGCTTATCTACAGCTCTAATGCTCTGTGTCAACAAAGAGAAAATAAAATATTAAATATTCAAATCTTACTAAAAAGAAACTAGGATTATGCTGCTCACTGTAGACCTGTTCCCATAGAAATTAATGAGAAACTCACAATCAAGGCGCACATTGTGTAAGCTGCTCAAGCTGGTTTAAACTGTCATTGCTTTTCTGAAACCAACAGTATTTTGCAAATCTTAAATGACATCCTGCCCTGACCATTATTTCTAAGTATTCAGTTTGTTCTATAAATCAAACAAACAGTACACTGATGATGAACTCTTTGATCAAATACTATAGGTCCTACAGCCAATAGAAAACAAGAGATGAAAACAGACCCTGCAGTCTGGAAATGGCAAGCTTTCTAGAATCAATAAGAAGATATAAATCACTGCAGACATTGATCTATGAAGCTGTACAATGCAGCGACCTGACTGAGACTCATCAGAAAACTGGTTTTCAGATAGCTGAAGTAGGAAGGAGCAATATAATACACCCTCTTTCCACTAATAAATAAAAGTAAGCACAATAAATTAAGAAAGCAGGAAATCCACCTGAAATTCCAAACAGTAAATTACAGGAATCTGTAGAATATAAAGAAATACGTAGAATATAAAGAAAATCTTCTACCTTTCAGAATACTGAACAAGACAGTGTTTTCACTGCTTATAAACTAAAAGAGTAACTACAATGACAGAAAAGATCACATGGAAGCTTTTCAAATTGCTTATGTCAGAAATGACCCCCTCCTGCATTCCAAGCAAAGGAAAAGGCTGCTGACCCTCTGGACAGAGCAGTAGGTACTGGGACGCCTTTCCTCCGAGACTCATCACCCTTTCTCAAAGAACAGGCAAGTGTCAAAGGGACACTTAGCCAGCTATTTCTTAAGTGCTATTATTTCATTTGTCTGTTCTCTGCCCTTTCTTCTGTCTTCGAGATGCTTTCCAGGAAAAATTAGCTCTGGAACACCGGAACAGGTTACCCAGGTTCCTGACTCACAGAGATACTGCCAAGTTCACTGGACAAGTGGCTACAACACAGCGTCATCTTATCCTGATACAACTGGATTTGGGCTCTACAGTACTGAATACAGACTGCAATCTCTCGCAAGGATATGTGACAAATTCTGATTGAATCAAACAAGAATTAAAAAAAGATCAAGATCTTTGAAATCCTGATTTTCCCAGTGAGTGCTGGATGACATGAATTGCTTGTCTAGAAACCGGTAAGTACTAATTAGAGATGACATCTTTGCTTATAGAAGTTAAAGATCATTTTCATGTGATAAATGAAATTCCTCCAGAGAAGTAAAGTGTTTTAGATACAATGTGGTAAAGATCCCTCAGATATAAACAATCTCTATTTCAATTTTTGGTCAGACTGCGATGCCCGAGTAGTTTGTTTGTTTTCATTTTGTGGTAGACTTTTTTTTTTTTCTTAAATTCCTTTTAATTCTTCAGCGTCTAAAATTTATTAAAGACAATGCTTTTACAACGGCTACAAATTCAAATTCTTCTGGGAGTCATGCTTACATTTTTAAAAGAACATTTAGCCCAATAATAAAATATATGTAGGATATGCAACTAAAGAGTGCTTATGATTGCTCGTAACCACTTATTTGAAGAAAAAAACCCCAAATTATTCACAATGTAGTTATTAAAAGATTCTTTACAGAGGGAATGGTAACAGACGTCCCAGAATCCAATTAATATGGAACCCAAACTAGGTGGCTACCTCAGCATCTCAAAAGATTTACCACTTTCCATGGTGTCTCAGGAGCTCTGACAGGACTTTCTAAATAGATAACTACTAAATAATTAACTTGAATTTCAGTGACTGAATTTAGTGATTCAGGCACACTACACTACTTTTCTAACTCTCTCTCCTGTACGTAACAAAGGCAGCCTCTTAACCTCCACATCAAAGCCGCAGTTCATAAATCCATATTCAGAATTGTTTCTCTATGCACGGCTTTGGCTGGGACAGTTAATTTTCTTCCTGGCAGCTGCTCGGGGGCTGTGTTCTGGATTTGTGCTGGAAACAGTGTTGCTAACACAGAGGTGT